GGTGGTACGGATCATCTCCTCAACTTCCTCAGCTTAGAAGCCTTTCTGGTGAAACAATTTATAGGACCAGGTTCTTTAGAAGGCACTCTAGCAACACCAGGATAATACATCCACTGCATCAGCAAAGTACGGTGTGCGAATCAGCTTGAATCCTCTCAATGGCAGCATTGTCCCAAAGAGCTAGTCGAAACTTCTGGGGACCTTACCACCTGGCCCCTGCTTATCGCCCAGCCCCGACCTCATTTATCATCATACTCTGTCCACTCACACTCCGGTGAGAGGACACTGTTGGTGGATCTGCTGAAACCACAGGCCTCAGGGCCTCGCCCTGGCTGTTTCCCAGTTCTCACTGCATATCTGCCAACAACCTTTACTTGCCTTGCTTCTATTCAGCTTTCAGAGTGAGTTCTTCCTAGACCTCCAAGCATGCACCTGAAGCCTCTTTTATGTGTTCCCATACCCACTTTATCTCAGTCCCATCACTGAATCTCCTGCTCTGAGTCTGGTTGGCCATCTCTGAGGTTGAGACTATATTCTGTATACCCTGTTATGCTGTATTCCCAGTGCCTACATAGAAGGCCATAACTTTATTTGTGGAATTATTGAAGTGACAGCTCTTGCTAAACAGCTGAGGGCACACCTCCTGCTACTAGTAATTCAGGACTACCTAGGCCCACTCTGTGGACCTTTATTAATGTTTGCTTACTCACAGTGGAGATCAGAGGGTTCCTACTCTACCTTATCACCAAGTAGGTTCTTAAGGTATAATTATGAAGCCAGTTCTATCGATCCACTGTAATAGGGAAGTAGAAGTGGCACATATACTGAAGTTTCTACACAAAAAACTTTTTCTTATCACTAGGACACTGGGTCCTGTCAGATGGACATGGGAGGATGATGCAGAGTTGGCCTAAAGCAAAGAGAATCTAGTTCAACTCCTTAGAACTGTCAACTTTGGCTCAGAGCCAGAGCCTCAGGACAACCTCATACAGGTACTTATTCATCAAGCCCTTCTTCTCTTTGGCATCCAGAGAGATATCATCAGAGTCTGGGGATGTAGCCATGTAATTGCTTTCGCATCACTGCTACAGCAACTCAGATTCCTTCGCCATTCTAGAGCACCAGCACTGATGATGTGTCCATAGCTTTGAACTGGAAGTGTTGCTCCGTAGCAGGCTCTCGCAAAAGATAAAGATGGTCACGCTATCAGAGTACTTGGTAGGGAGAAGAGACTAAAATTGCTTCCCCTGAATTTGGACTTCCTTTGACTTCCAAGGAGTTCTTCATTTGGTGACCAACAAAACCGGCAACTACTTACAGGAATATATCATGAGAGTCTAGAAGTAGCCAGCATAAAGGTCACTGGAGTAGATTAACATCTCAAATTCGGGTGACTTGTCTATGTTACTCAAGACTTGTCTTGTTCACTTCCTGCTTCTTTCTTCTAATTGTCCTGCACAATTAGGATGGGGTTTCTGATCTTAAGTATTGTCACAGTAGAGTACTACACAAATCAGCATCCCCCTCCCTCGGGCCCCCCATTGGCCACCCCTCAGTTTTATAATCCTCCCCTCCCCTCCATTTTGGTTTTGGAGCTTGTGGCTGCTATTCCTACACTCTTGATGAGATAAAAGATAGATGCATGTGAGTGTGTGTGTGTGTGTGTGTGTGTACATATATACACCCATGAGCAGTCAACCTTTCTTTTTTATAGAATCCACTCATGCACTAAACTTGGGCAGCAAACTACACTGTGGCTGTACAAAAAGAATGGCTCCATTTGTTGTCGGGCATTTCTGAGGTAAAGAAATGCCCAATGACAAATGGAGCCATTCCTGCACAACCACAGTACTAGGCTAGTTTGAGGACCAAATGTGGTCCCCCACCTGCTGGTCCCCCAAAGGGAAGGATGCAAATTTTTGTGTATTTTTGCTTTCCCTTCATGACAGGAGAGGCAAACAGCTTGATGGGAATGCATGTTACTGCTAATGTTGTATTTTTTCTTTCTTTCAGAATAATGAACTCTCAATGAAAAAATTAAATGTGGAATCACAGGAAGAAGTTGGAATTAGAACCCAAGCCTTAAAACTGAATGAAGACCCTCACACTTGTTGCCTTTGTAAATCAAATTGGAGTCGTGTGTGGTTGAGGGCGTATGGAATAGGAGGAGGGGTAAGAACTAAAATACCCTGGGAAGAGATGAGAATGAATGCAGAGTCATGGCTTCCTCTGTACAGTGAAGCTGGGTGCTTCCTGAATTAATAAGAGATATTATTTACTGGATGTGTGAAAAAAGAAAAAGGCCACTTTGTAAAGTCTTGTTCTTGCAACTTTTTAATAATTTTCTCTATGTTTTTAAAATCTAATTCCTTGCTACAGCACTAATTCAATGTAATTTTCTAACAGACTCGGAAGGGCAGTTATGATACAGCATGCTCAGTAACTAGCCCTCTCAAAAATATGGCAACTTCCATTGATACTCTCCCTGTTTGGTTTCACTACTAGGAAGTAACTAACTTCACACCACGTTAATCAATATTTTGCTGGATTACCATATAATCCAGTGATGTTAAAGATCTAGTTCACCATATAAACCTGATTAATTGAAGAAAAATATAACTTCTTATTGCTGATTTTATGAGGTTAGAAATAGCATCCAATGCTAATCTGCAATGCCAAGAAATGAAGATGGCTTAAATCATATCTCATGACTAATGCATGAGACCCAAAGTTCTTTTATTCATGGCTATGTTAGAAAACTGGGGTATATTTTTTACCCTAAAAACGAATTCTATAAGATTTATTGAGATAACACAAAATTCCTTCTTATTGATAGTGCACAATCAAGATTTTATTCTGATGATAACAGAAAAGTTGTTTCTCTATTTTAATATTTTAAAAATTATGAAATGGGTTAAGCTCAGAATCAAGAAAATTATATTTGATCCTTAATTATTGTTTTTTTAAAATAGTCAATATCTGGAAATATGATGGAAAGTTTAGATTGCTTTCTGTAGTCACTATTTCATTCTAATTGTACTTGTGAATTCATTTAAACAGAAAGAAATATATCTACTAATAAAGTAATCCTGTTATTTTTGCTTGTTTTTGTTTTGATCATGACAAACTGTGAAATGCTGTGTTTTTCCTAGAGTTCTAGTGCATGAAATCTGCAATCTTTCCACTTGATTTACGAAGGACCCTTAATTACTGCTGTCATTAGCACCTAGTGTTCAAAACAGTCTGTTAAAATGCACTGTTAAGTCTCACCTTCAAGTCCCTGCTTCTTTAATTTCTTTTCCAAGGGTAAGTAAAACAATAATTGCCTTAATAACAACAATCATATACAGTAAATTAAATAATATTCCAAGTTTTTTTTTGTGTGTGTGCCTATGTCTTTTTGTTCGGGATTCAGCATGCACGTGTGTTAGGACTGGCCTAAAATGTGAACAAGTGTCCATCACAAGGGTTTATTCCTAGGGGCGACTTATTTACCTGGGTTTTAAAAACAAGTCACTCCTCTGCCTTTTTCTTTCCACTTGGATAGGGCTGATAGACAACTGCTGGGAAGCTTCAATGTTTCTGCCTGGTCATGCACAGTTCTGCAATATAATGCATAAATGTATAACAGCAACTTGGGCTAGCTTGATACCTCCCTTGGAATAAGGAAATCCAGCCAGGCATATCCATGTGACCCGCCCCCCTCCCCTTCCCCCCACCCCCGTCCCCCTCGCGCGCGCCCGCGCGCCCGTGTGTGTGTGTGCGCGCGCGCGCGTGTGTGTGTGTGTGTGTGTGTGTGTGTGTGTGTGTGTACACACACACAGGTTTAAAGTTAATTCATTCCCAAGATCCCCCAGAATCTTTCCTTTTCTCTTTTCTGGCAGCTCTGGTTCCTAGCCTGGGTTGTAGTGAGCTTGGGGGCGTGGGAGGGGCGGGAAGCGGGAGGCCGGGAGGCGGGAGGCGGGAGCCTGGAGCCAGGCGCCCGGCGCCGGTGTGTGTCGCGCCCGCTCCTGCCGGGTGAAAATCCGGGCCGGGTTTTGCGCCGTGCCCCCGGGCTTGTCTCACGGCCTCCAGCCGCCGCCGCTGCCGTGTTTACTGAGCTCGCGCGTCCTGATATCACTCCGCTGGCATGGAGGAGGAGGAGGAGGAGGTGGAGGAGCGAGAGGAGGCGGCGGCGGCGGCGGCGGCGGCGGCGAGCAGTTGATCATTGTGATGGTGGCAGGAGCAGCGGCGGCAGCGGCAGCCCAGCCGAGCGTTAGGGGCTGCTCTCCGCGCGGCGTTTTGCAAGGGACTTCGCCGATCTACTTTTGCAGTCGCCTCGGACTGTCCATGTGTTTACTTCCCCCAGCCCGAGGATTCGCTATCTAGGATCCTGTGAAATGCAACTGAGCAGCCAAAGTACTTTGAGAACACGGGGCGGCATAAACACCAAAACTTTTTTGTGGAAGGAAAATGCAATAGGCAAGCTCGCCGTTTTCCGATGCGGCGTGGAGTGAGTGGGTGTCGCGCGTGTCCGCACTGGAGGCATATGCTTGTGTGTGTGTACATGGGGTGTGCTTTTCGGTACGTAGGGAGAAAACGCTTGCCAGCCATCGGAAACCTCCTGGAATTTATTAGAAAATAATGGATTATCAAAAGAAGGCAGGAGAGGAGCGGATCTCCCCTTGAGTTGCAACCCGATTTGCTGCTGGCTCAGTTTTGTTGTGATTCTTTTTTTATTGATAGGTGTCTGATGGCATTCTGATCCCCCCTTTTTTTCTTCCTTGAGCTTTACAATTCTTACAAAAAAAAAAGAAAAAAAAAGGGAAACAAAAAAACACCCCAAAATCTCCCCCCCCCCTTTTTTTTTTTTTGCCCCGTCGGGATTGCTGTTTCCATCCATGTGCTTGCGTCTCCCCCGCGTTCCACTTAAACTATTTTAATCCTTGGACCCAAGGAGGAGGCTGATAGGGGGGGTGGATAAAAAAAGTTCTTCCAAAATAGTGTGCCCGGGGAGCAGGATGGGGGATTTCGCAGCCCCCGCTGCTGCTGCCGCTGCCGCGAATGGCAGTAGTATTTGCATCAACAGTAGCCTGACCAGCAGCAGCAGCCTCGCCGGGGCCGGGATCGGTGTGAATAATACTCCCCATAGCACTCCAGCTGCTCCGAGTAGCAGTCACCCCGCTGCCGGCTGTGGTGGCGGCGGCGGCTCCGGGGGCCACGGCGGCGGCTCGGCGGCCGTCCCCAAGCACAGCACCGTGGTGGAGCGGCTCCGCCAGCGCATCGAGGGCTGCCGGAGGCACCACGTCAACTGCGAGAACAGGTACCAGCAGGCTCAGGTGGAGCAGCTGGAGCTGGAGCGGCGGGACACGGTGAGCCTCTACCAGCGCACTCTGGAGCAGAGGGCCAAGAAATCATCGGGCGCCGGCAAGCAGCAGCAGCAGCAGCAGCAGCAGCAGCAGCACCCGAGCAAACCCCAGCAAGATGCGGAGGCTGCCTCGGCCGAGCAGAGGAATCACACGCTGATCATGGTGAGGGCGCGCGGGCAGGGGGCGCGGGGCGCGCGCGCGCCCGGGGACGTGGGGGGGGGGGTGCTGCTGGAGCCGCTTACATTGGGGGACGGGGGTCTGGTGTGCACGGAGGGCGACGTGGGGCCGAAGGGTTCATGTGGGCAACTTTTCCGAGAGGGGAAAAGCCGCGGCCGCCGCTACCTGTTCATCTGTCAGGGTTGTCAGATGTGGGGAAGAGGGGGCGAGAGGGGAAAAGCCAGTCACGACTGCGAGGGGCGGAGGGAGCCTGGAGGAGCCGTGGAGGGAGGCGCTGGAAAAGTTTTTTTCTTTTTTTTTTTTTTTCTTTTCTTCTCCTCTCCTTGTCTTAGATACGGATTTGAAAGTGTGTGAACCCAGAGTTGAAACCTCGCTCCTCCTCTTCATCGCTCCCACCCCACCCCCCCTCCCCTCGAAAAGCCGCCTCGTCTGTCTCCCCAGACCCGTCCCCCTTCGCCCACCCCTCTCCGCACATCCGCCGGGGTCGGGGAGACATTGATGCTGTCGCGATTCTGGGCGGGCACCAGGCCCTCAATCCCTGGGGAGGCGAGGGGGCGGGGAAGCAGAGGTTCTCGCCTTTTCCCCCCAGCTCACCCCCTTGGGGTTGAGAAAGTCTGAGAGTTTTGTGAATGAACTTTGAAGTGGGTGAGAAGCGAGCGAGGACGGCTGCGGCGCGCCTCCGCGGGGGGAGCGCGCGCGGGCGCGGGGCGCGGGTGCGCTCCTCGGCGGGGCGGCCGGAGCCCGGGGTCTGGCCCGGCAGGTGGAGCTGCGGGTCGGGGCGAGCAGAGAGCGGCCTGGGCGGGGGCGGAAGGGGAGAACTGAGTCTTCTGTCCCCGGAGTCCCCCCGCCACGCAACTTCAGTGGGGATCGTGTCTCCTCCTCCTCCTCCTCTCCAACTCGCGTGCACTCAGCTTCTCCGCCTGGACCCCCGCCAACTTCCCGGGCCCGCACCGGCGCCCGGAGGAGTGGATGGGAGCGGGGAGGTGAAAGAGGCTTAAATGGCTGGGTGGGTGGGTTCGAGGCAGACGGAGCAGCCAATGGCTTAACTTCTCCGGGAGGAAGGGGCAGTCCCCACTCCCTGATCCAGAGGGTAGAATCCTTTCTCTTATCTGCTCTCTCAGGTTCTTCGGCTTTCCTTTTGGGGTGGGGGACGGGGGGGGGGGAGGCCGGAAGTTCGGGAAGGTGTCTGCAGCCCCTTCCCCCACCGCTTTTGCCACCCGCGTTAGGGAGGCGCGGGGGTGCGCCACGGTCCTGGCGGTGGGGGTCTGAGAGCGCGGGGCGCCTTTGCCGGTGCCCCCGGCACCCCGCACCTCCACCGGTGGCCCTCGCCGTGTGCGGAGGGTAAATCGCACCGGCCCCGGGTGTCGGGTCCTCGGCGCCGCGGGCGGTGCGGTGCCGCCGCGGGCTAGCGCCGGGCGCTAGGCGACAAAGAGCCGGCTTGGGGGAGGGGAAGAGGCTCGGCGGCCTCGCTCGCTCCCCACCCTCTCCACGCTCTCCACCTCCCCCGCCCCGCACGTGAAGAGGAACAATTTGTTTATCTTGGCCTTCAAGAATCCTGCCCTCCTCCCCGTTCTCCGAAGCCGCCCAGCCCCTCCTCCCTTCCCTCCCTCCCTCCCAGGCGCGATCCTGCCCAGTCCCGCCAGCAGCACCTTCCTCCTCCCCTTCCTCCTCCTCTCCCCGACCGTCCTCCCGCAGCCCGCTCTCCCCCACCCTCTGGGACGCGGCCGTGGGGGAGGGAGCCAGCGAGCAGCGCTTTGTCCGCCCGGCGGCCCCGCTCCGTCCCGGAGGCCGCGGGCGGGGAGGGGCGCAGCGCCCTGGCGCCCTGCCCCCGCCCGATGGCCGCTCCCACCCGCTCCCGCCTCCGCCCTCCTCCTCCTCCTCCTCCTCCTCCTCCTCCTCCCCGGCCCTGGAGCCAGCCCCGCGCGCGAAGAAGAGGCGGACTTGGGGTTGAGGAAGAGCGAGTGTCAGAGAGTCAGGGAGGGCGGTGCTGGTGTTACAAACAGGAAGCCTAAAACCGCTGGCACACTGTAGCTTGTCTGATGGTACCCGGAGGCGGGGCAGGCCCTGCCTCTGGCCTGGATCTCCCGCGCCCTCGGGGGACCTATTCCCCCTCTCCACCCGGGCTCTTCTTCCCGCCCCGCCCCCCCCCCCCCCCCCCCCCCCCCCGCCTAGTTCCCATCCGCAGGCCCGGAGACCCACTTGGTGAACCTAAGGATTTGCAAGGCACTAAGCCTTAGTGACTAAGGGTATCCTTCTTGCCTACTCCACGCCCCCTTGTCTGTGTTTGTTCGCGCGGATGGCGCAGACATGGGCTGTGAGCGTCAAGCCCCCAAATCTCATCCCCACGTAATCTCCCCCCGACCTCGGGTGGAGAGCTGCTGTGGATCTGACCTCGTCCGCTGGGCACCGCTGGAACAAAAGCCAGCGCCTTCCTCTGTGCTCTGTCGCTTTACCTCGCGGAGCGACAGCAGCAGAGTGGACGGGCAGAAAGTTTTTGTGTTCTGTGGGTGTTCTCTGGAGGATGCCCCGGGGGCCCTCGGAGGGTCCCAAGGGGAGGTCTCGGGGTGCACGCGCTTGTATGCAGGTGGAAGCAAGCCCGGGATGCGGACTTCACCTGGAAGGAGGAGGGAGCAAGCTCCAGCCAGGGCTTTACTTTTGAAAATGGAAAAATGCTCCTTGCTTGAATGGATGGTGTGCAGAATTGGAGTATATGCTAGCTTCGGCTGTATTTCACATAGGCATCTCTCGCAGATACCAGTAGCAAGTGTGTGTGCTGAGTGTAAGGAAAATAAACAGCCTTAAACCTTAAGCAAAGGATTGCATGTAAATTCCATGGGCCACAAAAAGGAAACAAACAAACAAAAAAATCAACACCATCTTCTACAATTTACTTTCCTTTAAAAATAATTAGGAATTCACTCTGGCCCCTGAAACGAACGGATATTTTAACTTAGCCTGTGTACGAGATAAACTCTTGAAAAAGGGGTCGCAAAGAAAAATTGATCTGGTTTTCCTCGAATTGGCTGCTGGCTTATAGTTGTGCTCAGGTAGGGCACAGAGCAATTTACATTTAGTTCACACACTGGGCCCTTTATTTGGAAATCCCTAAAGAAAAGCACTCGTCAGTCAGAGCCGAATAATAATAATAATGGTGATGATAAAAATAAAGATAAATAGGCTCCTTTTCTGTTTTATTGCTATTGTTTACCTTCGTAGAGCCAATATGTCCAAAGTACTAAATATTGATCCATCTCTTTCTGCCTGGCTGGGGTTAGGAAGGCTGTCTCATCAGGCCTTTACCTCGTGATTTGTTTTCTTATCTTACACAATTACACGCATATGCATGAAAAACAAACAAGCAAACAAAAAGCAGGGGGAATGAGGTGAAACAGAATCCTTCCTTGGCTCCAGACTGCTGGGAGGGGCCTGAGTCTTGCTGGGTCTCTAACAGCCCTGTTAGGAGGCCTGGTGCACTGGCCTGCGTGGGAAGGGGCGTTACTTGGACATGTAGTCAGATGCTTTTCCCCTGGAATTTACTTTATTTATACGGAAGTGTTCCCCTCCAAGATTTATTGGTGAGACCTATTGATTTCACTTATTAGAGTCTCAGTTGAAAAGGTGCATTTTCCTAAAATAGTTTTAATTATTTGTGGTAATAGAAGGAGACATTGTTCACTCTCTGTCCTTGGAACTGCACTCCTGCTTAAAATATGAAGGTATATTCCAACCGGCAAATTCATTTCAAAGCCAGAGATACATGGACTTGACAAAGGTGTAATCACTCAGGCACACCAAAAAGCATGACAATGCAGTCTTCAGAATTGCAAAATGGTGGTAGTAGGCCTTGACCTGGCTAAGTTTCCAGTTTTCACGACCTTTTCACTACATTCGCACCAACGTAGTTTTCAGAGCATGCTTAATTTATACCCAGCTTGCAGACTGCAGGGATCTAGGCGATTCCTGCTCTGAAGCGTTTATCCCATAAAATTCATTTGGTGATAAACATATTAATTATTGAATGTTAGAGAACACAGCAGCCTATCCAGAACATTCTCATTCATTCCTGGAATAGATCCAGGAAATGCCATCCTATCAGTCCATCGCTAAAGCTCCTTATAAATGGATCTGGTTTCCTGTTTCTTATCCTGTTGGAGGTAAATCACTGGCTCTCTATCCAGTTGTTTTTGCAAGCTTGTAATGTCAAACCATTTGTAAAGCCTTCCTCTGAACCTCTCTCGTTGGCTTCTCCTCTTCTGCTGTCCTGGGTTATAAGATTGACAGGCATTTCTTCCATAGCCCAAGAGCCCACATAGGTGTACCTTACGTTTGTGAAAAACCTTTTTTTTTAAATTTTCATTTCTCTGTGCTCCATAAGTGCTCATCTTTTCTTTTAAATCTCAAGAATCACCCCCCCCCCCAAAAAAAAAAAAAGCTCTAGTGCATATTAATTGTTATTTATGTCTTTTGATATGGTGCATTTTATTTAGTGCTGGGCAGCCAGTGATCGGGAAAGTAGAAGCAGAGTTAGTTAATCATTAATCATAATCTATAAAATGCTCTCAGGCTGAGTTGGTTCCCAGGAAAGCTGAGTTTTCAGGCAGGTAATATATGTGACACTTTCCATCCTGTCTCATTAGAATTATAAGCAAGCTTTAGAAACTCACTAGGAAAAGAAACAGTCCAGGTACATGGTTTACTGATATTTCTGTAAGAAGAAAGATGAAGATTTTACGCCTTAAAATAATTAGGTTATTTTCTTAAATACTTCTCTGAGACCAAGAGCCAACTGTTGTTAACGAGGTTTCCTGACAGGTTCTTCCATTTGGTTTAGATAATAATGGGAGACATCTCTCCTAACCTCTCCCACCCCTCCCTCCCTCCCACCCTCCCTCCCTCTTTCTTCCCCCTCCTCCTTCTCTCCCCTTAGTGTGCTACCTACATGGAAGGAGTCTAGTGTAAGAAACCATGTTGCACATTACATAGTA